CCCAACCCACTGCGCCACCCAGGCGCCCCAGGATGGGACATTTAGAATTAGACCTGGGTCAAAAGATGACAAGTCTCTTACAATACATGACTGAAAGAAGGATTTAGCCCCTCTGCCTGACAAACTGGATCCAAATGCCCATATTAAGAGTAACTGAGGGTATAAACTACACATTATTCTAAATGTAGATATAGACACTAGGACTATTTTAATAACATTAAAGTATTTGTAAATAGCTATGTAGGTCTTTTACACATACATGTACAGTGCAAGTACCTTAAACCATAACCATCTTTCTAGAATATTTGGATCAAGTTTCTTTCTTATAATACAACTTGTATAATCTCTTTTGTGATTAATCCATCTTAATTTTTAAAAAAAAAACAAAACTCAAATGTATTTAGACTTTCTCTCTAGGATAAGTGTCTATGGCAGGACCTCCATAGGACTCAACGCAGCATTACTCTGCTACATCAGCCATAATCCAGAATTGTGCCGGCCTCAGCTGTAAAAGTCTGTGCACTTGGGCTTTTGGTCTTGTCAGTGGATGCATCAGGTCTAATCAAATCCTGGAATATGGAATCATGTGGGTAAATGAAAAACAAAAACAAAAACAAAAAAACAAAAGACAAGAGACTGATGATATGTAACCCACATACCCATATTACAATAAAAAGGTATCTTCCAAGGGGACCAAGTTCTAATTTCCTTCAGCAGTCCATTTTATCTATGTCAACAAGCTATGTGTTAGTTAGATTATAAAAAGACAGTTACTCGGTGGAAGTAGGCTTAGAACAAGGTGATTCTGTTACTTGTTTTGATTCTTTAACATCATTAGCTTTTATAAAGACAGCACTGAATAGTGTTGAGTGCTGGCTCATGTTTACAAAGGAAATATATTGGATGGTGAAGAGTACGCAATCTGGAGCCAATCTGCCTGGATACAAAACCCAAGTCCTCTGCTTACTATGTGTGAAATCTTGCACAAGATACCTGATGTTTCAGTTGCCATGGTTGCATAATAGATACCCCCAAACATGATGACTCACAATTCTGTGTGTCAGAAATTTGGACAGGACATAGCAGAGCCTGCTTGTCTCATGTCTCACTTTCTGAACTAGCAGCTGGATGACTTAGAAACTAGGAATTGGAATCATCTTCAAATGACTCATTTACTAATGACGGATACTGTTTTCTGACACCTGAGCTAGTGTTGTTTGCTGGAACACCTACACATATTTCTCCATGTGGTCTCAATTCCTTACAATATGGTGTCTGGTTCCAGGGATGAATGTCCCCCAGAAGAGGTCCAGAGGTCCAGGCAGAAGCTGTGTGTGTGTGTGTGTGTGTGTGTGTGTGTGTGTGTGTGTGTGTGTGTGTGTGTGTGTGTGTGTGTGTGTGTGTGTGTGTGTCTGTGTGTGTGTGTGTGTCTGTGTGTGTGTGTGCGTGTTTGAAATAAACTGGCCTCTTTAAAACTAGCTTTTTTAATAAACTAGCCTGGAAAGTCACATAGCATCCTTTCCACCATACTTTATCGGCTGGTGAAAACACAAGTCTAGCCAGGTTCAAGGGAAAGATAAATAGACTGTGCTTCTTGATAGGAAGTAACAGGGTTCTGGAACAACTTGTGAGAATGAAATATTTCTGTGGCCTTTTTTGGGAAAATACAGTTTGCATTACCTGACTTTTCTTGCCTTTGTTTTCCTGTCTGTAAAATGCGGATAATAATGTAACAACTGAGATGATTGCTATTGTCTCAGTTCTTTCCATTGTGTGTGGAATTTATAAATTAACATTCAAGTTCAGCCCTATTTCTAAGTCATTGTCTTTGTATCACAGGGTGAAACATTAAAATAGATGATCTATAGTTTTCTGCAAAGAGAACTCAGTTCTCCAATTATAATTCCCTACTCCTTAGTTGCCAACTATGAGAGGGAAAGAGAAGGGGAAGGGTGAGAAAAATAAACTAAAAATGGAGAGAATGGAGCAAACGTTGAATATGAAATCCATGTCTTAACGAATAAGAAAGTTCAAGTGAAAAAGAATATGGAGAACTACTATTTGCATGCCTTGGGGTCTCAGTCTCCTTCAATATTCAGCATTTTTGCTGACAGAAACTATGTCACCTCAATACTTTGGGAATCATGGTGTAATTAGGTAATCCCAGAAAAACGCTGTGTACAGTCTCAAAGGGTTCACATACCTTGTGAACATCAATGATGGACCCAGAGAAAAAACTCTTGCTGAGGCTGGACAATGTAGTGTGTCCTTAGAATAATGTTCATTACAAAAAATGTTGTGCGAGTGCTCTTTATAGACTTCTTTCAAATCTTCACCTCTCAAGCGGTGTACCAAGTAATACAAGTTCTGTGTTCTAATTATATATGTGTGTGATTTGTAGTATAAATCCTTCACACAAGACCACAAATTCTTATGGTTCACCATTATATCCCAGAACTTATCATATAGTAGTAATTAAATTCGAAGTTTTGAATAGGTAATTAATGAAAACGAATGAATGAATGAATGAATGAATGAATGAAGTAACACTGTAAACTCAGAGCACAATTATTTTAGCATGCACCAATTGTAATCACGTTTTTCTTTAACGGCTTTAGGAACACATTGTTTTTCAAGTTCACATTTAGCCAAGACCTTAAGTAGAAAGATTCTATAGGTAAGATTCAGCTGGATTTGAATTTAAAAGTATGTGAGTCATCTTACTTCTCTTATTAGTTTCTGCTTTCTTCTCACTTTTTATTACATTGCTGACCCCCAACTTTTGTGCCCTTATTAAATATCTTCTACCGCTAACCAATTATAAGCTTTTCAATGCCAGTAGTGGTTGCATTATTTCCCTCGGACATATGTCCACTGGTATCATTTCCTCTTTGTTTCATTCACATGTAGTGATAATATTGGTTAAAATTAAACAAGTCAAAGTTGTAAGGTGGACCCACAGTTGTAAGGTGGAACAAAAAAAAAACATTTTCAAAAAGTGTCAGTAGAATATCATTATTTAAAATTTTTAAAAACCTGAAACTTCATTGCACATGTGAAGGTCACTGACCATCAGGAATAGGTAGTACATTGGCAAATACTTCTATAAATTCATTACTGAGAAATGATCACGTAAAATATCATGACTGATGTAACAGTTTTTTGAAGATTCATCGACGTAACTGTACAATTTGATTTATTGGTATCTAATTAAGGCATATAAAGCAGTAAGAACTGGTATCATACAGAAATTGAAATTAAACTGCATATTACACAGTTTAGCAAAGCATGAAGTACCAAATATATCCTCAATAAAGTGCCATTTAATACGTTCAGTGCAAATCCCACAACTTTTGTAGCACTCCTCTCTAATGCAAGGTTTATTTATAGGAGCTATCTAGGGCTTGAAAGAAATGTAAGTGAGAAGTAGAATACTTCAGATATCAGGGTTGTGTTTATGCTAAACCGAACAAACAAAAACACTCAACATGGTTCGTCTTCCCACTTTCAGTAGAATATTGATCAATGATCCATCGTCATCACTTGAGGCTTATATTTTAATAAGTTGTTACCATATCAGAAAGAACTGTAACCATTTTTTTCCCCAAAAGCATCCCCATCAAAGTAAAAGATTCCTGGATACTTGGTCCTCCTACCAAAAGATAATTCTATGTGATTTCAGATAAGTTTATTAGATTAAAGTTTCTAAAGTTTGAAATTGCCGTGCCAGAATTAGGACAAGGACATTTAAAATGGTTCTCAGTTCATCATTTTGGCTTTTTGAAGAACAGCTGTGGCATACTATTCATCATTAGAGATCAATATGGATACAAGGCTTTCATGAGAAATATGTTTGTTGACCTTAATAAATCTTTAGCTGTGCAAATACAGAAATATTTGTACAGGCAATTTTCTGCTGAATTACATTTCATCTATGCACATTCTCATACCGCAGTATATTTTTTAACAACTTATACTAAAGGTTTGATGTGATGGCAGTTTTCCCAAAGAAACATTTTTAATTGCTTCACAATGGTTGTTTTTGTATCTAGTTATTTAATCATCATTATCATCATCATGATTAATTTACATTTATGTGTTTTGAAACTTTTTGCTACTGTAAAAATTGTTGTAATGAATAAGGCTTTTGCTTAAATAAATTTACATAAAATGAATTACTAGATTAACAAGTTTGAAGATAGTTAAGGCTGTTGATAAATCCCACATTTTTTGAAGCACCAGAGAAAATTATATGTGCTAGAAATGTAAAAAGAATCAACAACTGAACTTGAATTCATACATCTCATTTAAAATGATAGGTAGCTCCTAGTTTGCCAATTGGTAATATTACCAAAGTTATATTCTAAGGGGTTTGTATTAGATTTAACATATATTTCTTTAGTCATGAGGGGATACTATAAGGTCCTCAGGTGCTCACAGATTTAACCTTTAATATAGCTAAAGTATACTAGGAGCAAATAATGGCTCTCCCATTGTGCTTCTAAATATTGAGTTCCTTGTCTTTGTCTTCACTCTTTAATTCTCTATTTTCAGTGAGTGCCACCACTCTGAACCTCTTGATAATGGGATTCTAAGCTTCCAAGGGTGTTCTACCTATTTGAGCACTGGGGAAAGGAAAAGGGGGTAGGAAACTGGAAGAAAACCTCTAGGACGCCGGGAAGAGCATCTCAGGACTGATCCTTCCCAAAGCATTATGGAGGGAAGTGTGGGAAAGAGGGAGAACAAAAATCAGACAGACTCTGGTAAATCAGTGTTCAAAAAAAAAAAAAAGGAAAGAAAGAAAGAAACCAGGTACGTCAAGAAAGAAAATTATTAAGTCCAAGGAGGATGTTGGTATCAGAGGAAGCACCTTTTTAACTTTAATATTTTTCTACAATATATAATATAATCTTTGTAGATGATTCAAATGATGTTGAAAAAATTCAAGGAAATTGAAAGGACTTTAATTAAATATATATATATATTTATTTACCTTCTAGAAAATACAAGATGATTCACTCGAAGAAAATTTGCGTTTAGCTCAAGAATATCAGGAATTACAGACTACTTTCTTAACAGAAAAGGACAATTATTTCAATCTATATGATAGACAGTTATCACTTGATGCTTCAATTCAAGCTAAGAAACAGGTAGGTTTTCATGTTTTTTTCCTAATAATGATTTATTTGACATGCGTGCTGCAGAAAGTAACAAGCGGTCAGTCATGGGCTTTTATATGACCGACGGTGGTCCTTTGTATGCCACCAAATGGCATATTCCCTCCTTGTAAATTTTTGGTGAATATTTTTATCAACCTTTGAAATGAAATTTTGAATGGATATTTGAGAAATGAAAAAACTTAGTTTCTCATCCACCATTTCATACTAATTCGTTCTATTATGACCTGGAATACCAAGTTTTTGAGGTTAAAGATTTAAATATATTATCATAGATTTCAAATTTCAATTCTATCTATAGGTGAGTTTCCACGATATGCCTCAAAATCCTCTTCATGATGTATGGGCTCCAAATGTTTGTTTCTATTTTCTTAATAAATAAAGGTATTAATTATAAACTTAGAGAGTATATGACCCTCTGTGTTTAGTGGAAATCACTAGAAATTCTCACATATTTTGTAAAAGATTCTGTAATAATAAAAATAGAAAAGTAAAATACACAATACTCCGCAAATGGAAGAGGAAAGAAAAAGCTCCACTTCGAGTGTTAAGATACAGCCACTTCCTCTGTATTCTTCTCCAGATACTCATTGACAAAACAATTATTTCCCTTTGAATTTCTGTATCTTCCCAGAATTTAGATTTCAAAATTTGGAGGTATGCTTGTTTTTTTAACAATGCACCTAGTCATAAGAACCGGTAGGCTGCTAATGAATCCTTTCTCATACAGTCATCACCCATATTACTCTACTGTAAATTAGTAGTTTAAAATTCCAGTGCTGTATTTATCCCTCCGTATGGTGGAATATTGGAAAGACAGAGGCCAGGATTTGAGTGCATTTCTACCAGTTACTAGCTCAGTGATCTTGGCAAGTTATGTATCCTTTCTGACCTCGGTTTTCTCGTCTGTGAAATAAGATTTACCTCAGAGGAAAACTGATAAGTAATAAGAAGGAGACATCCATAGTTATTTTTGAAAATAAAGAGATACTATGCAACTATAAGTAACTATTGCATTCATCTGGTATGCTGCTTATGTTTGCCATCTATCTGCTCTCCTGAGAGTTAAAGCTTCTGAATATATTGAAAGAGAGAGAGAGAGAGAGAGAGAGAGAGAGAGAGAGTGTGTGTGTGTGTGTGTGTGTGTATTTTTCTCTTAAAAATTAGTAGCACGATGAAGGCAGATTAAGAAATAAATGTGTTTGTGAACAAATTGATAGTACAACTATATGCCAAAAGCTTGGTGTCCTCAAACCATGTGCCGGATTGAAAGAAAGGACTTTAGTGGAACATTTGTCCAATCACTTCATGCATTTGACGTTGTTATTGAGGCTAAACATGTTCTATTTGTTCCTGATAATTGAGGAGGAGAAAATAATCAATGGATATATTGTATTTCCTTTTCCTTTTCTAACCAGAAGGGAAACAAAAATAAATTTTATGTATACTTGTTATCAGTTTATTTAGAATCCTTTGGTGGAAAATGACCAATAGATACTGCAAAAATAGTGAAGAAACCAGGCCTTTAAGAGAGTCCCTAACACACTACTTCCATAGTAAGAATAAAATCATCTTCATGTTGGAATTAAAGCAAATTGTGATTCAGGATCCAAGGAGTGAGACCCTGGTATGAACAGACAGTGAGGTATGCTAGGAGATTGAGTTTATATTTGTGATGATCCCTCAAACGAATCACTTTTAGCACACCTGTTTCAGGGAAACTTTCAAAGATTTATTTGTACTTCCAATCATTTTTCATTTCCATCCTTCAGCGATGGAGGTCATTAAGTGCAGGCTGCCCTTGTCAGTGTCATGTAGGATCAATTTGCTGCAATGGACAGAGAGGCCTTATTGATGCTGTTAAATCTGTCAGTGAGAAATCGTATGTCATTAGCGTCTAATGCACTGCTTACGGGATGGAATTTGGCCATCAAAACTGAAAAAAAAAAACCCTTAATATTTTAGTTCCCTTCTTTGATATTGCAGCATTTCCTGCATATATATATTATAGGTTTTAGTCCTTTGACCAGTTTAGTTTTGGGTATGCAAAAAAACCATTCAGCCTCTCATTCCCTTGTTGAATTTTCTTGTCATATAAAATGGATCTCACTTTAAGGAATTTTGTGTATTATTTTCCTGTTTTTAGAATAACTTTATGGCTTCTAGACATATATTCCTTTTGGCATGGTAAATTGTATTTTGATGCTTGTGCTTCTTAAGGAGTATTATTCTCTCTACACAAATTATACATTTTCATACTTTGTATTTTTAGGCTAAAAGTAGCAAAGCTTAATGGAGAAGCAAAACAAATTAAATATAAAAAGTAATGATGTCCCCTTCCTTAACACAATTTTATTTACAACCTTCAAGTGTTAGAATGTTCTAGTGTTACTCTTGGTGATAAAATTATGTCTACTTCCTTTGTGCATGCTTCTTGATACTTTCCTGTACTTCAAAATTTTGCAGTGATGAATATTTCCCCCTTTAAAAATCAGAAACAAACAAAAATATGCAAAATTCTTATCTTCCCTGTTCATGGGTAACGATAGAATAGAATCCAATCTAAAGATCTCAAAATTTAAAATAACACTAAAGGGGAATAAAAGAAAAATACCTGAAAAACAGGTTGCACTTCTGTGTAAAAATAGACATGTTCATCATTTTCATTAAAAGATTTCAAAAATATTTTCAAGCTATTTCAAAATATTTAAACCCATGAATAGATTGGTAAAATCACGTTTGTTTTCATTGCCATCTCCAATTCTTCAAGTCTGCCAAGAAAGGTAAGCTAAAAGCAGGCAAGCCAATGTTGATGTGTTCTGTTGGCTGAGAACACGATCCCTTTCAAAACTGGCTAAAAAATATTTTTAATTCTTTTGTGAACCACTTGTGAAGCCTCACCTTTGCCTGCTCCAGTTCTCAGGACTCTCAGACTAAGGGAATACAAATCATTGGAGAATCAGTCGGCACTTAACTGGCACTTAGAGGGACTTGGTATCCATACCATCCAGTTTGCACACATTGTCTCTGTAATGTCCATCAGTAATCCTCTAAAGTTTTTGTCATTATTGGCGTTATAGTCATCTCCAGTTTAAGATAAGGGGCTGAGATTGAGTGTGTCACAGCGTCACCTGAGTGAAAGGAACAGTTAACTGAGATAGGAATCAAACAGGATTTTCAGAAATCCATCCCATTTCATAACTGTGGCATACCTCTGTAATGTGTCATTATTAAACAATCCTACATATGTCTCATCAGGCTCTGTAAAGCATGTAAAAGCCACATCGGTCATGCATTATGCCACCAGTGTCCATCTGAAACAGACTATTTGATTCAGTAATTGTTTTTGTAATTTTATCTCATTGAAGCTGTGTTTTCAACAATGATTTTCTCATGGGGAAAGAACTACTTACTTATTATAAATTATTTAATTTTCACAGGGATTAGCGATAATTTTTGCAATTCTAAAATTGTAAAAATTTTGAACTGGATATGCCTTTACAAATGTTACCCAATTGTTTAAAAGATAATTTCACACACATACACATACACACTAAAAAATAAAAAATAAAACACAGGGGCGCCACACAATAAAAAAATAAAAAATAGTGGCTCCTGAGTGGCTCAGTGGGTTAAGTGTCCGACTTCAGCTCAAGTCATGATCTCGTGGTTCGTGAGTTCCGGCACTGCACTGGGCTCTGCGCGGATGGTGCCTGAAGCCTGCTTGAAATTCTCTTTCTCCTTCTCTCTTTGCCCCTCCCCCACTCACATGGAGCTTGCTCACGCTCTCTCTCTATCCCTCTCTCTTTCAAAAATAAATAAACATTTAAAAAAAATAGAAAGTAAAATAAAAGATTACTTCACAAGTGAGGAACCGTAGGGCCACAGTGGCTCAGTGATTTACCACATATACAGTTAATTAGAAGAAAAGCTGGCCTAGGACACAGCTGTCTTAACTTACATTCAAATAGTCTCTCCAACCAGCTGTAAAACGAGCATGTGCTGTGATATTTTTTGAAGGTTTGAGTGGACCAGTAGTTGAAAAGCAGTAAGAGTAACTACAATAGATATGCTCAGACTGGAATCACCTTTAATAACCTGGCCTTATTAAGGAGTCACGTAGGGACATAAATCAGAGGACTACTTTGGAGCTCTAGGGGACACTTCTACGTCTCACAGAATTCAAACACTATTCATTCATTCATTCATTCAATTATTCAAAATAAATTATTAATCATCCATTGTACTTATATCCTTTCTTTTGATACAATAAAAGACGCAGGAATATGCCACCTCATCTCAGCTACCATGCTGAATGCTGTGATCCCCAGAGACCAAGGGACTTTTTTGCTAGAAGACAGCATAGAATCCGAGCCCAACAACATCCTGTCTTTACCCCACCAGTGGAAGAATCACGGATTTTTCCTGTCTAATCTCCTTCCCGTAGGTCTCAATGGACAAAGTTTCCATTTTAACCTCTCAAAAATATTATATCATCCCTAGATTTCATTAGCACATTTTCTCTTCCCTCTTTCAGTTTTCGAACATGGGTTTCCTCTAATACTCACCTTACATCGACTTGATGAGGAATCAACGTCAATTCCAGCAATAAACAAAGTTATTTTCTTAAGGAAGTGTGAAAGCTATTTTAGTTCTCCTTTTCATAAGTATTTTGTATTGCTTGTTATTTTGTGAACACTAAAATATATAAAATTGGGTTTCAAGTAGTGATTTTTGAGTGCTTGTTTCAGTGTAGATGGAAATCCATTCCTTTGCCAAGAAAATCATAATTTCTTAAATAGTTTCATCACAGGCACACACTGAGGAGTTGCTGTACCTTATACACTGATAAGCTTGTATTAAGTTTCTACTGGCCCCTTTCTCTGAAGAGCTCTCAAGAGATCTCTGAATAGCTTTTGTGATCCTGAGACAGGAGTAGACAGTTGGTCATCTATTGCTTTATCCCAGTGAGTCTCCCTTCTGTTGTCCAAACTCTGTAAGAAAAACAACAAAAATTAAATGTTTATTTCTGGCCAGTACTTTAGAAAAGTCATCTTAGCTTAAATCAAACAAGCTTTTCAGTCTAGCACCAGTTTTGAGTGAATTGTAGACTTATGTATCCTTCAAGCAATTTTGAGATAGTGATCTAGTGGAGTTGAGCAGCAACAAGCAGTTTTTAATGTTCGCAAAAGCTTAAAAGTGATTTCTAGAATGTGACGGGATCCCTGATATATCAAAGACACTCAAGGTAGAATTTTCATATCTAGAGATGATTGTTGAACAACACTGGTTTGAACTTCACAGGACTAGTTATCCATAGACCTTTTTCAGTATATATATTGGGAAACATTTTTTGAGATTTGTGACAATTTGAAAAAACTCACAGATGAACCATGTAGCCTAAAAATATCAAAAAAAATTAAAGAAAAGCTAGGTATGTCATGTATGCATGAACCATATGTAGATACTAGCCTATTTTATCATTTGCTACCATAAAATATACACTAATCTATTTTAAAATGTTAAATTGTATCAAAACTTACACACACAAACTTATAAACCGTACATGGCACCATCTGCAGCCAAGAGAAATGTAAACAATAAACAAGATGCAGTATTAAGTCATAACTTCATGAAATTAACTGCAGTATACATATTGTATCACCGTAATAATTCCATAGCCACCTCCTATTGCTACTGTGGTATGCTCAGATGTTGTATCTACTCGAAAGGCCCTGTGTGTGCTCATCATCTCTGTGTGAGCATTTCCTCTCTGCAGCAAATTGCTATTGTAGTAAAAGTGATTTCAGGGTGCCTGGGTGGCTCAGTTAGTTAAGTATCTGACTCTTGATTTCAGCTCAGGTCATGATCTGAGGGCCCATGAGTTCAAGCCCAGTGTCAGACTCTGCACTGACAGTATGGAGCCTGCATGAGATATTCATTCTCTCTCTCTCTCTCTCTCTCTCTCTCTCTCTCTCTCTCTCTCCCTCTCTCCCCCCCTTCTCCCCTGCTCTCGTGCTCTCTCTCTCTCTCTCTCTCTCTCTCTCTCTCTCTTAAAATAAATAAGTAAACTTAAAAAAGTGATCTCAGGATATATGGATATCTGGCAGCGCCTGGAGACCTTTTTGATGATCACAGCTGGGGATGTTGGGAGGAGTATTTGTGGTATCTAATGAGTAGAGGCCAAGGATACTGTTAATATCTTTCACACACACACACCAAAACCTTTTTCAGCTTAAAATATCAATAGAGCTAAAGTTAATCCCTAATATATACATAAAGAACTTCAGACACAGAGCCTAGAGATAGATTTATTATATGCTTATCATAAAAATATTTTACATATATATGTATATGGCACACTGCATACTATATCTCCTTTTAAAATACTTAAACCACATTTGCATATTAAAGATTCTGAACAATCCCATTTTAAGAAACCTGTTGATTCTAATAACCCTGAATTTCCCGTGGTGCTTGGAACCCTTTCTTAGGAAACCTATTTACAACTAACAATATTTAATAGATTAAGCCTTGCAAAATATTATTCTATAGAGAATTGGAGAAGATTTCATGTCATAAAATCATACATTCAGGAAATTTTGCTTATATATAACTTGTAAGAGG